TGCTGCTTTGCTATTTTTTAATTAAAAACCTTAAAAAAAAAAAAAAAAGAAAAGAAAAGAAAAGGAAAAAGGCACACAGAGATATATACACACACATATATATTTTAAATAAGCCATTGATTTTACTTGTTCTCGAATTTTAATCAGCCTGAGCAAGAGCAAGACCCCATCTCTTAAAAAATAGCCAGGCATTGTGGCAGGCACCTGTAGTCCCAGCTTCTTGTAGTCCCAACTGAGGCAAGAGGATTGCTTGAGCCCAAGAGTTTGAGGTTGCAGTGAGCTATGACAGCACTATATGGAGGGTGACAAAGTAAGACTCTGTCACTAAAATAAAGTAATAGAAAGTTTATAGAAAGTTTAAAGTTTCTATAAGTTTATAGAAAATTGAATAGATGGGTGGTGCCTATGGCTTAAAGGAGTAGGGTACAGGGCCCCATATACTGGAGGTGGCGAGTTCAAACCCAGCCCCAGCCTAAAACTGCAAAAAAAAAAAAAAAGAAAAGAAAAGAAAATTGAGCGGAGAGCTCTCTTCCCACTCAGTTTGCCCTATTATTAATATCTTGCGTTAGTGTGGAATATTGGTTACAATTGATAAACCAATATGAATACATTATTAATAAGCCCATAGTTAATAATGGTTAGTTAGGGTTAATTCTTTGTGTTCTATGGGTTTTTGATAAATGTTTAATGTTGGATGTTCACTGTTACACTATTACACAGAATAGTTGCACTGCCCTAAAAATCTATGTTCCACCTGTTCATCCTTCTCCCTTCCCAGGAACCCTTGGTAACTCCTGATCTTAACTGTCTTAAAGTTTTGTCTTTTCCAGGATATCATAATCATGGCATAATTGGAGCCATGCTTTATATTGCCTTTCCAGATGAGCTTCTTTCACTTAGCAATAGACATTTAAGTTTCCTCTATGTTTTTTTCTGTGGCTTGATAGCTTGTTTATTGTTATTGTTGATTAATGGACCACTGTATGGATAGACTTTACATATATATATATTTTTTGAGACAGGAGCCTCAAGCTGTCCCCCTGGGCAGAGTGCCGTGGCATCTCAGCTCACAGCAACCTCCAACTCCTGGGCTCAAGCGAGTCTCCTGCCTCCACCTCCCAAGTAGCTGGGACCACAGGCGCCCA